AAGAGACAATCAACAGAAAGCTGATATTTTTGCTGACCACCACCTAGAAAATACGTTTCAATTAGAATAAAATCAAGACACTCCTCCTAACGAGACGATCCATAATAAGGATCAACTTGAAATTCGGCTAGTTACTACCAATTAAATTCCGAAAGAAATTCAGAGAAACATCAACTCACAGAAAACCGAAGGTTGTGACGTTATTACTGGAGAATATTTAAAGAAACTGCAAAGGCTATCGTTAAATTGACATACCTTATAAATGCAGTATTTTGCCTTAAACATAATATGTCAGATGCGTGGAAAATGACTAAAGTTATCCCAATTCCTAAGCCAGGAAAAACTCAGAATAGTGTCATAATATAGTAATATATGATTGTTATTAAGCATATATGAACTATTTGAACAGGTACTAAAACCAATTGAAAATGAAAACCTGATCCCATCGCTCCAGTTTGGTTTTAGAAACAAACACTCGACAATAGACAAAGTACACCGGATACCCGATGTCCCGATATCATCCAAAAAGCATTCGACAGGGTTTGGCAAGTTGACCTGATACAGAAACTTGAAAAATGTTGCCTAGACAATATGTCAACATTTTTGATCATATATCTAATGCGAAGAATGTTGAAAGAAAAGCAAGAGGAGGCATCCTCCGATATGAAATAAATGAAAGCCGGTGTCCCACAGGGCAGTGTGCTAGGACCGGTTACTTATATCAGCGATATCCCTCAACAACAATGTGTTTAATAGAAACATTTTCGGACGACACTGCAATATTGGCAGTTGCTGAACTAATACAAACACCTCAAAAAACCTCTAGGAAACCTGCAACATAATCAATCGATGGACAAAAAAGTGGAAAATAGAAATAAACTAAATTAAAGTAACAAAAAGAAAGATAGGCGTTAGTTACTTTTGACGATAGTACTGCATGTTCTAAATCTAAATGTCGTTTCAGTGCCGTTTGTCCCATTTATATCGAACCAATAATAGCAGAACTATAGGCTTAGCATTTTGGCATTAATACTACATATGTTTTTTGTTAGGTTTTACATCTAAATGACAGTTCTCGTTTAATGTCGTTTATCTTAATCAAACCGAACTCCTTCTGGCTATCGTATATTTTTTATTGTAAATGACATTTAACTGAAGTTTTGGAGCCTTTTGTTCTATCCGCCAGATATTAACAGAAATAGTACCCTTTTGGTAACCGTATGTTTTTTATTGTAAATTACATCTAAATTTTGTTTTGCTTGCATTCGATTCGGATAATAATAATAATTAAAATATAACCATTTTGGTGATGCTACTGCGCATGTTTACAAGCTGTCTATCTCCTCTTCGTCGATTTATTTCACTCCTTCGACACTTCTTGGTTCTCGATTCTTCAGAAGCTTTGCCTTAAGTCCTTTCGGCAATGTCACTGCGCATGTTCATAAGACATCTGTCTCCTCTTCATCGATTAATTTCACTCGAGAATGAAATTTTTTCAGCCTCTCTCCTTCGTCTTAGGCTTCTTCGACGTCTTTTCTTTCTTTAAGTCAAATCTTCAGAGGCTACTTCCCTCCACTTTGTCATATTTGACGTTACAGTTTTGATACGAAGGATGGTAATATTACATATATCATGGTCGTTTGAATCTTAATGAACACTTGAAATGGTTTTGATGTAGTACGCGTTGAATCTAAATGAAGGGTATTGATATGAAGTAAGTAAATCGTTTGAAATGGTTGAAATGACATTAATATTAAAGAAGTACAATCAGGATAGAATTTGTATAATGTCCATGTTAGTTCGATGTCGTCTCACTTGAAATAGGAAGGTCTGTCTTGTCCATCTGCTAGGTACCAGGAAGTTAATTTTTTTAAGAGAAATTGCAAGATATCGTCCCGTTCAGCAGCTTAAAGGGGAATAGAAAAAGATATTGTTTCATCTCATCTTCTAGGTTGTGAAACAGATGTTTTGATATGGAAGCAGAAATTTAAGTAGAAGACATTTAACGAACTGTTGCTGTACCTTTTTTATTCGATTAATTGGCTAGCCAGATGACAGAACAGCATTCTAGAATGCTCTTGAATAAACAGATGTGATACCCTTAGTATAATTTGTGTTGTGAGTGACGTATAATAAAACCAAGAGCACGATATATTCGATATGCAGGTTGAAGGATAAACCTGTGTCATAGATGATGCTGAGTGATGGTGTACTTTAGGCAAGTCTGTATAGATAGCTTCGAGAGGTGAGAGTTAGTACTACTGATAAGCGCCTAAATTTGTTGCAGTTGAGCGTCATTGATAGAACCCATGTTGACATGTAGAAATGTATTAAGTATTGTAAAGATTTTAGAAGTGCCTAGATAATTTTTTATATCAGTTTTGTCTCCAATCTTGTAAATAAGCAAACAGTAGGAACGATTTTTAAAAAACTTGTGAAAAAAGGTATAGAACTTTACAGCGGATGCAGGATGGTGGTATAGCATCAGGACCTGCATTTTTGGCTGCATCTATATGTTTAATTTTGAATGACACTCCTTATTCTGTAAATTTATGAAGATATAGAGCCAACATGGCAATGATTAAGCTGAAGAAAAATCAGTATTGTGTTTTTAAAAACATCTGTTGGAGCAGTTAGTTCAAGATCTTCAAGATCTTCAGGTTAGATAGGCCAGCGCATCTTTGGTTTTTAATAAATGGCTTCTCCAGGGAATTTGATGTTTACTAACACTGACGTCTTTACAACACAATATAAAAGACCAATCGGTTTTTACGGAACATTTATTTAGCTCTACTATACTCTGTTTTTAAACTAAGAGGAGCGATTTGAATTTAAGTTGGCAATTCTGTAGCCTTCTGATTGGTCAGATTACAGTCAGATTCACACATTACTTTTTAGCATGAACATCAGCCTAATGATTGATATTGTTGATAGTTCTGACATTTTATAATTTGATATCTCATCCATTACTTAGTTTTTTACTTATTTCGTAAATAATAGTTCTTCAGTAAGCAATTGTATTGAAAATCTACAGTTATGGATCCTTCTACACTGAGTACTATTAAAGGTAGCAATTCCTGAAAAGCCTTACAAGAAAGGGAAGACACCTTATTATTTTACATGCTGATTCTGAAGGTTTTGTAGAAAATGCATTATTGGTTTTTGAAGGTAAAAAGATGGGAAATTACCATGAAGAGATGAATTCCGAAGTATTTTAGAAAAAAATAATTTTATTACTGATTTTTTAAAACTAAAAATTGATGAATTTCTAACCAAAATGATTAAAATGTAACTAAATATTCTAGCAAATTTTATTTATTAGAATAGAATAAAAATATTTACAAAATTGTTATAACATTTAAAACACCATCTACTACTTTAGAGATAATCTTAATTTGGCACAATGAGTTAACATTATTTTCAAAAAAAATATTTTAAAAATACTTAAAATTAATACATAGGTATGTATGAATAGTTCACTTTAAAAAATATATGTTGACATGTAGTGTTATGAAAATGTTGGTTCCAGTTTTCAAAACAAATTCTGACTCATGGGCCTGTAAACTTTTGAATGCCCTTATTTGCCCTCTAGCGCATTAATCATGGGTTAACACTAAATAAGCCATAATATCCACATTACTCATAGAAGAGATACCAGTTACTGTGTGATCCACTTGTCATTCACTGATTAACTTTTACTTTTTATACCTATAACAAATATATCCTTAAAAATGTAAACAGATCTTTATGGCTACATCTGGATATTCCATTAACAATTTCCTTAAATATTTAATATTCATTTCAAAAAGATCATAGTTATTCTCAAAAAGTCGATTTCAAAAGCAAGAAAAAAGTATTTCTTACATTAATCAACCACCATATTGACTTTAATTTGACAGTGACATTTCGTTTTAGACACACATTTCAGATCACAATAATGTGAAATTTGCGACCGTTGTCTGGGACCAATTAAAAAATTACTTCTATGACATTTATTCGTTTCTTAACCGCTCATTGGCCGTTCACCGACTAAGGCTGATAAAGATAATTATTTAATAAATTTTGAACACGACTATATTTCGAAACACGCTCTTAGTAACAAATCTAGTTACTTTTCCCTGTGTAAATGCGTCTTTTCAATTCGCTCCTCCTAGTTTAAAAACAGAGTATAATAGGATAAAAAAACGCAGAAAGATTTTTTTTTATAAATTATTAGGTAACGGTACTTGTATTAAAGTTTGCTTCTTCGAAGATCAGAGTTCGCTAACAGAAGAGAAAATCCCTCTGCAGGATAAATCGATGCAGGATTAGATTGAATACTTTGTAATTATAAAATTATTATATATTTGAGGTGATTTGATAGAGACAAAAACAGATTCATTACATAACTTATAACCAAAGTATTATGGGATTCTGAGATATTATGATTCGGTCACGGTTAGCGTCAAGTGGACACCACTGTGCCGGTAGCTGGCAAGTTCGGGATTAAGCCCTGAGGGTCAGCGCGGACGAGGGATACATTTGTCGATCCCCGAGGGGGTGGAGGCGGGTCGGTTGACACGTTGTCGACAACTGGGATGGCTTCTTGGCCGAGTGAATAATGGATGACTAAGGATATTGCAGGACACTGCCTGGACACGGGTCACACCGCACATTGCGTATTCAGCAGAGAGCTATTTACCTCGAGGATCTATAAAAGTCTGCTCTGATGTTTCGTTTTGAATTAGTTATGGTCGATGTGTGGCTCTTGCGTAAAGGACTTTCGACATTTATCAAAAATGACTGGTTTTACCACGTACCTACTTTGCAGATGTGTAACTTGTTATTTGTACTTGTCAAGACAGTGAAAAGATAGATGGAAGAACACAAATGAGGCAGACAGATGATCTAAAGAATCAAGGTAAAAGAAAAAGGAAATCATCAAATAATTGAGAAAGAAAGATTGATGCCGAATAAAAATATTAAATAAGTTCTTAGTTGTGCATAATTGAAATAAAAAATAAACAATCAAGACATTTTATTTAACAAATAAATACAGGCCACTTTTTATACTTTCTTTACAAGTTACAAACAAAAAACATTTACGCAAACTCACAATTATTATTAGTAGATATAAGATCATCATCATTTTTCATAAATTATAATGCTTCCATTTATCTTTTGTTTTTATTTAATGTTGGTAAAGATCGTGTAGGGCTTTTCGAACCCTTTTTATTTAAATCTCTATTTTCAAATTTGTCACCCTAAAACAATTTATTAAAAAAAGTCAATTTTTCGTCCACATTTGATAAACATAAAAGGTGCAATACCAATATTTTTTTGATTATTTAGGAAGAAGTTTTAAACATATTTGAGCTAATAATAGATTACCAGAAGCTGTTATTGATGGTATTTTTTTTTTCTTGTTTTCTTTTGTTTTTTCTGTTTTTTTTTTGTTTTTTTTTTTTTATGACAATGGAACATTCACACTAGTTGCTGTAAATTTTTTAAATTACTTTAGAATAGTAGGGGAAAGTGTTCCTCAATGAAACATGTTCCAGATTGAGACGCTGCTTTTTTAAACTTACCACCACATTAGATTCATGTTTATTGTCTTCAAATAGCATGTGCGGCGTGTCATTTTTAGATATTGAACTAGGTCATATGGCGTTTATGTGTCCGTTTATGTAACGAGGCAGTCACATGAAAGTTACGTATTATTTTGGTTGGCCATCTTTGAAATTGCGTAAAAAATAATGTGATAGATTTATATAATTTTCATAATTTGCTATACTGATGTTATATTGCTTTATTCAAGGGGCGTAGCATGTATGGTTTTTACTATAGGAAAATTTTCAATATATGTGTGATAGTTCCACAATGAGACAAAAATTTTGGTGATAATGAGACAGCTGTAATATTGTTACAGACACGCCAGAATCCCATTTATTAGAAGGAAAGGTCGTAGAAATAAATATGAAAAAGGAAGCGAAGAAATATAAAAGCTAAACCCAGACTTTTTTAAATCATCAAATGATGACAATGGTGATGATTATCAAGACGATGGTAGAACTTCCAAAGACCTGAGCGAAGAAGAACAGACCAAGGACCACTTTAAGTTCACCGATTTAGAAAGCCTATTTTTAATTTTTTTTATTTGGTGTCATCGGCATCAACTACTAAGCCTCGTGTTCTGTGTATTCTTTGTTACTTGTTTCCCAGCGCCACTTTAGGAACAGCACTGTTAGAACCCAATAGTGAGTCGAGTGGGGAATCCTACCTCTGCATTAGGATTAATATTATTTTTTTTTATTAAATAAAAATCTGCGACCGGTGTTATTCGATCTTAAGCAGAGCCGGATTAACCACAAGGGCCAGTAGGGCCATAGCCCAGGGGCGCAACGCCAGGCGGGGGCACCGCAACACGACGAGGCTTAACTTTACTATCACATGTATCAGATACTTTGCGACGTACCGTATTTTTATTTTTTGTTTATTTGTTGAATAATGAATACGTGTGTGTCATATTGCAAGTTGTGTTGTGACTGGTGACGAAGTTGTAGCTACGAAATATATGGACAGTTTATCATTAGTGACAAAGTGCATAGTAGCATAGTTCTTTTGTTAATTTTTTACCACTAGAATCATGAGTTCACGTAAATTAAGTGGAACTGAACGAAGGAAACTTCTTAAGGAAGAGGAAGAGAAATCTAAAGAATTGTTGAAAAAAGTTCCAAAACTAGATAATTATTTTAAAATTGCACCCAAAACTAGTGAGACGAATGTAATATAGCCACATATAAAAGACGAAGAATATGATAATAATGTAATAGCGATTGTCGCTGCCCTAAACAATGGGGGTTACTGTTGGTGATAAGTGCAAAGGTACATTTAAAAATTATTTTTATACCTAAGTAATTATTTTTTTTTTGTTAGAATTGACGGAATTTGTTCCTTCTAATTACCACTCACAAGACCCAGGTGTGTGGATAATTAATACTGAATTGGTAGAGTATATAGTGAAAAATCCTTTCGCTCAAAATTTGAAACAGAGAGATTTTGAACAGTCAAAAAAACTGTATCCCAATGAAAATCGCAGTCGATACGCATCAAACAAAATGTTTATCGTGAAATTAGTAAATGGCGAGAATATCCGGAAGGAATGGCTTTTATACTCTCCATCAACCACCAAAATGTACTGTTTGCAGTGTAAATTATTCGGATCAAACCTTTCACAATTCGTCAATGGATTTAATGATTGGAAGCATCTAGAAAGAATAGGGGAACACGAGAAAATACAAAAACGTATACATTACTTTCCACAGTACTCGGAAAAATAGATAGCAACATCTAAAAACAATTAATAGAAATAGAGTATTGGAGAAACCTTCTGAAAAGGATAACAACAACTATAACATTTTTATCTAAAATAGGATTAGCATTTTGGGGAGCCATAGAAAGATCAGGGTGAAGAGCAATGTGGAAATTATTTGACTACACTTGAACTAATGTCCAAATTTGACCCATTCCTAGAAACTCATGCAAATAAGGGAAAAGGACATGCCTCCTACCTGTCAAAGACTATTTGAAGAATTGTTGGCTAAATCCACCAGAGAAAAAATAATAGAAGAAATAAAAAGTGCCAAATATTACTCAATAAGCGTAGATTCAACAACTGATATTGCGCATACAGACCAGTTAACTTTATTTTGCGGTATGTGCAACCAATTGGATCGGTGGTTGAACGTTTCATAAATTTATTAGCAAGGTTGGGCATAAAGCTGAAGATATGGAAGTAGCAATTTTGGAAACACTTGATGAATTCACTCTACCTATCGAGGACTGCGTTGGACAGGCATTCGACAATGCGTCAAATATGTCCGGCAAATATTCGGGCCTACAAGCTCGCATAAAAAAACACAATGCCAAAGCTCTATACATACCATGTGCAGCTCATTCTTTAAATCTGATAGGTTCTTGTGCTGCGGAAAGTTGTTTACAGGCAACAGAGTTTTTCATATTCTTAAATGAACTCTACGTTTTCTTTTCATCTTCCACTGCTAGATGAGCTATTTAAAACAAACTTTAAATGAGTCTGAGAATGGAGACGGAAAAGCAAGAAACAATTTGCTCCAAAAAAAAATTAAGTGCAACTCGAGGTCTGCAAGAACGGACGCAACTAGAGCGCTCTATAGATGTTATGATAGCTACCAAAATGCCCTTCAAAACTTAATAGATGATCCAAATCAACCTCCAGCAACAAAGGTTCAAGCTACTGGTTTGCAGCCACAATAAACAAACTGGAAACTGGAATTCTTTTAGAAGTGTGGAATAAGTTGCTAACGAAATTTGATAGTGTGAGCAAAACATTACAAAAACAGTCCACAGACGTTTCCTTAGTGATAAAACTCTACGATTCAATGATACTGTATGTAAGCAGCTTGCGTACCGACGAAACATTTAAAGAAATCGAACGAAATGCTAAAGATTTAACAAAATGTAATATATACAAACTTGAAGTGAACAGAATCCGAATAAGATGGAAAGCTTTCGATGAGAGTAAAGAAGTTGAAACGAATTTTGATGGAAAACAAAATATGAAAATTAACACATTTTACGTTATATTCGAGATAATTTGTCATCAGAACTAATTCGAAGAAAAATAGCCTATGAAAGTGTCTCAAACACGTTTGGATTTATGGGATCGTTATGTGATCTTTCAGACAATTAAATTTCAATATAGGCAGCAAATTTATGGCAGAGTTATCAGTCTGAACTTGATAGAGATTTTGCACAAGAATGTATTCAATTTAAATACTTTCTAAAAGCTTTGAAGGAAAAAAACAGAGAAGAAAACTACAATATGGCTAAGATACTACAAGTTCTGACAAAACTTAAAATAGTTGCAATATATCCTAATATCGACACTGCTTTAAAAAAATTTTTGACAATACCAGCAACTAATGTTACCGGAGAGAGGTCGTTTTCAACACTACATAGAGTCAAGAACTATTTAAGAACTAGTTTATCTGATTCGAAGACCAGCAATTTAGCTTTATTGTGCATTGAGAGTGAACTTGTTGACTTTCTAGATGAAGACGATATTATATCGCTTTTTATTACAAATAAATTAAGAAAGACACTTTAATAAAAAGGAAATGGGATTCGAAGTTTTTGTTTTACTGATTTTTGTTAATGTTAATATTCTTTCAAAATAAATGCACTGAATAATTGTTTTGATCATGTTTATAACTTAATAATAGATTGAAAAATTAATTGGTGGGAAGGGGCGCTTTAAAAGGTTTGGCCCGGGGCGCCGCTGGTGCTTAATCAGGCCCTGATCCTAAGACCTTCCACTTTCAAAGTTATGACCACTGAGCTAACCCACCCCCCAGAAAGAGACTATTATTAACGATTTTGTCTTGGTTCTATTTTTGGAAATATAGACGTGTATTTTATTGCATATTCCAAATGAGACATTCTTAATTAATTAATTAAGGCTTCTTGTTCAGCGTAGACTAATTTTTTCTTCAAAATTCTTATCCTGGCACTAAATAAATGCATGTTTCATCGTGGAACACGATTGTTCCAAAATGAGACAAATGTAAGATTTTTTAATAAAAACCATACCTCATCAGTCAATGAAAAAATCCACTTTGTTATTGATAAAAAAGTATATATTAAAGAAAGTGGTTTGAATAATTACAGTTTTAAAATTGATGTGAAAATAAATGGAAAGAATCGAATGTGATTTTTATCTCATTGTGGAACACTTTCCCCTACCTATACGTATTTATATTTTATTTAAATAATAAATTTTCTTCCTTCAAATCATAATTTTGTAGTATTTTATTATTTTTTTATAAATAACTAGTGAAACAATACGTACCACAGGCGGATCCTCAAATAAGGAATTCGATGGCCTTGTTACATTCGAACGAGAACCTGTACCTGCTTTTGGTCGAGGTCCATATTTAGATACCTAAAAATAAAAAGTACAAGCTATCAAGAAGCTGACAGAAGAATCTAATACATGGATCAGAGAAAGATTGTTATAAGAAAGGTCCAACCTCTTTACTTAGACGATTGTACCAAGAATATACAACCTAAACTAAACCAACGTACCAAAGCAGGAGTATCTTCAAAAGTTCCAGAAGGTTTTCTGTTTACATCAGATTGACGTGCACTGTTTACTCTTCCCCTGGTTCCAATTCTGTCGCCCTAAAAACGTTTCATACAGATGACAAATTTTATTTTAACCATACTTTTTCTACGACTTCTCTCATTAACTTCACAATGAACTAAGGAATGTGATGCTAGTTTATGATAAAAAATAAAAATAATGTGTAGATGCTGGTGAAGAACTTACACGTGATTGTGCATTTGCAGCTTTTGCAGACGATTTTTTGGTAATTTCTATCTGACTTCCTGTGTAGGCTTGTCTTGATCCAAGTTTGTTCTTCTTCAAACCAAATCAAAATATATGTTTTAATGTTGGAAGAAATAAAAATTATTGACAAAACCAAAAAATATATTATTTTTTTAATGATAATTTGTGTACAGCTTACGGGAGTTGGTGCCTCTTCAAATTTCGAAAAGGATTTTCTACTTGTAACCACCGATCTTCCTACATCTCCTTTCCTTCCTCTTTCAGTTTTATCTTCCTAAAATATATACAGCGTTAGTACAAAATAATGAAGGAACGTTTTTAGTTTATCCAATTTTTTATATTACATTTTTATACACTCCGTCCATTATTTATGGAATAATTAAAAATGAACCTAAATTTTAAACTGCCATATATTTGTTAAAAATGCATGTATTTCACCGCGCGTTTTGTAGTTGGATAGCTTTTTCCTTCGTCTCTTAGAAACCAAGCCTTTATTTTGCCACTTGCCAATAATGTACAGGGCATTTTACAAAGTGTGTACCCATGTAAAATTCACAAAATTCTAATTTGGGATTTGGGAAGTACGAGCGTGTAAAAATTGAAATTTTTTGGACCGTTGGATACAACTTTCCGTTGAGTAGCTCCTGTATCAGTTTTATCTTAGTGCCGTGCGTGATGAAACTGAAACTGATGAAGCACTCCAACTTTTAGACAATAACTGAAACCTTCTGAGATTATGTAAGTGAAGAGATGATGGACGATAAAGCAAAGTAATTGTTATAAACGAAGTGTGCAGAATGTGTTAAAAACTAGTATTGATCAGAGCTAATTAATCTTGTAATATTTAGTACCCCGACATCACATACAAAATTCATACATCAGGGTTCTTATTTCAGAGAAAGGTGTATGGAGCAGAGGGTATAAAACCCTCTATCAGGCGGACTAGGTACTTCTTTCAGGAAGTAATAATCACTGTGAAATTGGAAGCGGGAGAGTTGATTTTTACCCGCTAACAAGACTGTTAAGGTCTTTTTGGATATCCAGGCATCCCTCAAGGCCCTGAGCTCCAATCGACCTGACTCGAAGCTTGTTTGGATCTATATAAACATCGTTCAGTACACGGTACTAGAAACAATTACTTTGATCTGGGTTCCACATACAGAGATGTAGAGAAATGAAAAAGACGACACGATTGCTAAAAGAGGAACCAAATCTAAGTTAATAGGATCAAAACCATTTGTTGGTATTGCAAGAAGAACTGCCAAAGGAAAGTTTTCAAAATAGACAGAGAACTAAAGAGATATCCAAAGGTTTATCCATTCGAAGAGATCTATAACAGCTCTGCTTAGATCAGAGATTGCAGTAGGAATAATTCATGCATTTCTACGGGACCGATGACAGGATATTGTCATCAGTTAACCATATGAGAAGGACAAATCTACAACAAAAGTCGGATGGGATGGTCTGCATCAAAATGAACTATAATAGTTACATCTAGGTATCAGTAGAAGGCGATGAAATCATTACATTCATTTTTAACTCAACCTAACCTAAGACTATATTAATTCTGACATAATAATAAATTAATATGTCTCTTCAGAGCCATCTTTTTTAATTATGTATATCTTAAATTTTAAATTAAGAATGTATATTTACTTGAAAAGATTTAGAACTATTTAAAGTCGAATTAGCTCTTGCAGGAGGTTTCCTATTGGTGGATTGGCTTTGTTCGGGTTTCGATCGGGTTCCAGACGATATGTTTTTCTAAAACCCAAATCAATAAACATATGAGTATAATAAACCGCTGAAAATACCAGAGAATTCTATTTTTAAAATATGAGGTTTAACGTAAAAATTATGAGTAACTCATGTAGGTAATTATTGCCTCTCAATAGAGGTAAAAGATGCTTTATTTAAAAATTTAAAAATTGATTCGTGTTAAATCTTCATAATATACAAGGTTTGCACTTTTGCTTACCGGAACAGAAGTGTCTGCATTTCCAAATCTGGATGACGTTTTTCTTCCAATATCTTGTCTTCCTTGTTTCCTGGTCTCACCCGTATCTCCCTTAAATCAATAAACAATAAAATAATAAAAATAGGTTTCACATAGAGAAAAGTAAATCTATAATCAAGAAAAGCTTTGCTCCTAAAAGATTACACTTAAAAATAAAGCATAGTTTACTTTAAATAATATTTACTAGTGGTAACAGGTGATGTAATAGTCATCGATGACGTCACAAAGCGACTAAAACCAATAATATTAAATGGGACCTTATGGCAGTTGACATCTAGTTTGAAAGGTATTCAGAATACCTACCTATTCAGTAATACTAATTATGTTTGGAGTTATGGTGATTTTGATGGATATATAATAAATAAACAATTAAATTTAATTAAAATAAAAAAATATTCAATAACCAGTTCTTATCAGAATTGTTCAAAATGTGCTATATCTACTTCCTGGTAGTAAAAAATCCTATTGTTAAACTCTTGTTCTCGTTCAAATGTGTCAGGGGAAATTGCCCCACATTCTCTAACAATACTATCAGGAGCTGTAGCGGCAATCAGATTTAAGATATATCCCACAGAAAAAATATAAAGGTGTTAGCTCCGGGGACCGAGCTGGCCATTCTATTGGACCCCATCGTCCAATCCGTCTCCCAGGATATTCCTTATCTAAATAACGTTTTACTGCGTAGTAACAGTGTACAGAAGCACCATTTTGTTGAAAAGTTATTACTAAATTCATCTAGATTATCTTCCAGAATTTGAGTTAACGATTCAATTGCATTTTCAATTATCTCTAGATATACCTACTCCACTGGTTAACTTAAAATTCCAAAAATCTAAGCCCGACTATATGGTTTCCCAAAATATCTGTCCAGACATTTACTTTTTATGGAAACTGAGTATGTTTTTCATGAAACATGTGAAGATATATGTCACTCCAATACCTCACATTTTGAGTATTAATATTTCCATTAAGGAAAAAAGTACTTTCGTCACTAAAACAAATTTTTTAACATAGTCTGGCTTAGTGACATTTTCATTATCTTTACGTCTATCCAAACAGTTTTAGGTTTTCTGATGTTTTTATTGAAATTACATTAAATAAATTAATGAAGTGAGTTAGTTACATTCTTGATAACCCTCATATTTACCATTATTGTTTAAAACAAAATATTTACTAAAATAACTTAAGAGCATCAAAGGTGATAAAAAAACCATTTAATATTAAATTAAAGATAGCATTGCTCTTTATCTTACGTCTCAAATGCATCTCGTTATAACAGAAATATATTTCTCTAATGTCACCTCGTTTTTGTTTCCTTTTTCCATTTTGAGGTTAAAAGGGGACTCAAGACGTTCTCACTTTTGAAAACATGCTTTAAAATGCTTTAAAATGCTTCAAAATGCTTCAAAATGCTTCAAACTGTTTCAATCTGCTTCAAAATACTTCAAACTTCTTAAAAATACTTTAAAATGCTTCAAAATGCTTCAAAATACTTCAAAATGCTTCAAACTGTTTCAAACTGCTTCAAAATTCTTAAAAATACTTTAAAATTGTTTAAAATGCTTTAAAATTCTTCAAAGTGCTTTAAAATGCTTCAAAATACTTCAAAATACTTCAAAATGCTTCAAAATGCTTCAAAATGCTTCAAAATGCTTCAAAATGCTTCAAAATGCTGCAAAATGCTTCAAAATACTTCAAAATGCTTCAAAATGCTTCAAAGTGTTTCAAAATGCTTCAAAATGCTTCAAAATGCTTCAAAATGCTGCAAAATGCTTCAAAATGCTTTAAAATACTTCAAATTGATTTGCTTTGATTTAATATAACAAGACGGCATCAGAAAAATTCTAACTTTTAGGCCTCTCTCGCGTCTAGTCTCATCTCGCGGCATCACTGGCCTGGTTGTTGGACAATTTTAGTGGACATTTTTTCACGGAATTCCAGCCTTCGGTCAAGGTCTTCATCTAAAAGTTGATTCACTATTTTTAATTTGTATGGGTGAAATTTGTTTTTGGTCAACACTGCCGTGTTAATTCAAATGGCCGTAACTGCAATTTTCCTTGAAATAAAGATATGACCACTACGCCTGACAACAATGAATTTTTTGTTCATCTCTATAATTTTCATGGATATATATTCTATAAAAACTGAGATTTAATGCTTAGAAATTTGGGCGTAAGCGATTTTTCTTGAAAAATCGATTTTTCTTGAAAAATCGATTTTTCTCATGTTCACGTACTAAACAGATATGGCCATTTGAATTAATACGGCAGAACACCCTGTGTACTGTACTATCACTGACTTCACAGGTAGACGCAACTTGGGCTCTGGAAGAAGTAGGATTTACTACAATTTCTGCAACTGTATCAATTTTTTTATCAATAATAATATTTGCTCAACCAAATCGTTTGTCATCATAAACAGTACCTGTTCTTTGAAACTTGTAAAGAAGATCCTCAAATATGTCCTAGATATGGGGCGATCATTAAAAATGCGTTCCGCCAAGAGCTAACAGAGATATAACCATTCATTAATAAAATATAATATTCACGATGCCAAGAATAATTCGACAATCAATACAATCTATTTGTAGGGACGTGGCGAGGAGACGAAAGGTGAGAAGTAAGAGAAGAGATAAAGAGAAGAATTTTACGCAGATTCAACTTTTCTTTATCAATGAATAAATGTATAAGACGCTGTGCGCTTATAATACACAACGTACATATCCATGCCGGTCTAAGCCCTGTTGCCACTTCCAACATAACATTACTAGGTTTTGGAATTTATTGAAAATTATTACATCTAATTTAGTGAAATTACATCTAATTTAGTTAAATTTAAAATAACTAATGATTCAAAATGTGTTGGGTTCAGCTGAAATAAAATAGATTGAATTATTTTAGCTTTTTTAATATATGTAAATAATTTTGTAAACAAAACAAATATGACAACAGCAGACATTATACCCTCCTGTGTCCGATAGGATATGTCTTATTTAGGACCGCACGATATTTATTAGTAATTCTTCATAATTTCTTTTGCTTGTAAAATAAATACGATTCAAGTTGAGAAATTATGAAAAATAAAATAAATATTTTTGCAAGTTAACCGTGGACATACTATATTGTTCTTTATGTACCTAATACAGGGAGGCTGAAATAAAGGTTATAGTAAAATCACAATCGAGACATGAAAATTTAAAAATAAAACAAAATATTTATATAAATTTATTTTTAAAATGTTCTTGAAATCAAGTACCCACCAATATCACTAAAGTAGAGATAACAGCACATGTGCGATAGTAGAAGAGATTGGACAAAATTAGCTAAATAGTATAATAAGATACCAATATTGCAAAGCTAGAAGCTTAAGGTGTTTCAAAATTTCACTAGATTTTTATCAAGATGGCAATTGTACGATGTTAAAACTAGATCGGTGAATAATAATAGATTGCAACAATGACTAGGTATATAGTATACTAGATAGCTAGGTCCCCTGATTTTTCACCTGTAGACGCATAGAAATACCTATATCTTTTTTAAATCAAGCATTTTAACTGTTTTTTGAATAGATATGTATATATTTTTACTTTGTTAGTTTATTATTTATGGAAAGGTGGTAAAAAATTATTTTATTGTAATCACATGTGACTTGGAAATATTTTTATTTATTTATAAAAAGTCGAGCATGGTCTAAAATTTAAAATACAAGCATCAAATATTATTTATCAGTCGTATAAAGAATAAAGGTACTTTACTCTTGAGTAAAACTCATATTTTTTGACAAACCTCGTATACCACTGAAAAAAATTGATATTTGATGACTGTATTCTAGGTTTTAGATAATGCAGAACTTTTTATGAAGAATAACTTTTTTCCTAAAATTAATAATAAAAAAGTTTTCCATATGATTCCAACTTAAGGGGACATACTGTATATCTGGCTATAGATTTACTTTTTATAAAATTTTAGGTATTATATTCTTCTTCAGACAAGTCTATAGTAAAGGGAAGTAAAAAGCTCAAAGTCTGTCGACCACATAAATTTATTAGGTTGCAAGCGCTTTCGACCTAAAAGGTCATCATAAGGCAAAAATTTTTTTTGTAAGTGAGTAGGTACAATCTGCAATAATAATTTAAGGTATAACAAATCGTTTTTTATAGAAATGCTAGGTGTCTTACCACTATGTGTCCACAGAAAATAAGTATGTTGAAAATGTAAAATTTAAGTAAATTGTAAAATATGGCACAGACTGCCTCCCTCATTCGAGGTTGGATCCAGTTCTAGTTTGAATTTCGCCTGCCTCCATCTGATGAAGGTGGTTTCGAATGAAATAAATGTTGAAGTTCCACAGGTGTGCTTAAGGCACCATGTGGAAAGTGTTACTTTTGAGAAATGTGAAATATAGCTAAGCTTAAGGGTATAATTAAAAATTAACTTTTTTAGAAAAACAATTTTCACTTATGACGCTTTCGTCATCCAACGGTGAAGTTAAATGAGAAAATGGTGGAGATTTACGACATTTGACAACTGACATATGATGGAAGACACGTAGTTACAATGATGGTTGAGCTAATACTTTTTACTTCCCTTTAATCTACTTCGGACCACTTTGAGATATGGATAATATTTGGAATTTAAGTCTATAGTATTTACTTTTGCTTCTAAAATTTCTAGAATGTCATTAGGTACAAAGGTAACCTAAAATATAATTTTATTAAATATATTTTTAGTTCGATTAAGTATATTATTACCCAGAAGTTAGTTTTTCTATAAGTACCTATTTGGTGTAAAATGTAACTAGACATTCGGTTAAATGTTTATCTTCTCGTTTACAACGATTTATCTGCCATTCTTTGTTTTTATTGTAGTTAAACGAGTTTGTATTGGGTATATGGTGAATGAAAAATTAAATTTACACTAGGCATTGTAATATGAAATAAAGACAATGGTTTAAAAAATAGTATTCTATTTTTAAGAGGACACTTACCAAATCTACTCAAATGTACAAATAATAAATATTTATACTTAAAATAAATTCTCCATCTTCAAGTT